AGTCCCCACCAAGACCTTTTGTGTCCCTGGCACGGAGGTCAAGGTCTAGCTGCCCCTGTATCACCCCAGAGTTCATGCTGTGGCTCTGCTTGTATTAGAGAAGTGTTTCTCTGCAACGTCTTGATCAAAAGTGGGAAAATGAAGTTAATAACAAAGGGCTGTGGCAGAGCCCCGGGTTTTGAGTTTGCAATCCTGACATATCCATGCATATCCCCATGCACATCCATCTAGGACCTCCTGGCTGTTGTGCAGGGGGCCGGCAGCTCACCCCTTCCCCAGCTGGCCCCTGAGACCATCCACCCCAAGCTCCCTCCACCACAACAGGGTGAGGAGCCAGGCCTCAGACATCCAGGCCTTCCTCTCCCTCCCTGGTGGTGGGGATCTCCCTGCGGCTTCCCTGGGATGGCCCAGTGGCTCCTCTTTCCTGCTGCTATTGCCCCTGGCAGGAAGGTGGCCAGCTTGGTGGGGAACTTGTAAGAGCAGGCATACCCATGACCACTGTCTTAGGACAAAAGAAAAGGGGCAAGGATGAGCCCTCGCCTGAGAACCAGAGTCCACAAGCAGCCTTGGGCTTCCCACCCAAAAGGCTCTCTGCTCTGTCCCTCCCCCAGCTCTTCAAGTGACAGTGCAGAAGGCTGGCCAAATCAGCAAAGCTGGGCCATGGCGAAGGCAACAGACGGGATGGATGGAAGTCAGGGAGCACGTTTCAGATGAGTGACAGATAAGAGACAAGGGGCAAGATGGGTGACTCAGAAAGAAAGGGACACTGGTGTCAAGGAGGAAGCAGCTCTTAGCCATTCTCAGCAGACATTTATTGAGTGCTTGCTGTATGCCAAGAAGTAAGCCAGGTGCTAGAAACAGCAAAGGGCCAGGAATAGTCAGGGTCAGTGAGTTGTCAGTGACACTGCATTGACCCTGGTTGACTCGAGAAGAGATTAACCCTTCAGGCACCACTCTGAGGGTCTGGGCTAAGTCCTTGGACAGGGCCTGCCAAAGTCCTTCCGGCAACGAAAAGGGATTTAATGAGGCGAGACCCACTCCCTCTTCCTCATCCATGCAGAGGCACACAGACAAGCTCCCTTCCACACACTCCTCCAAACGCGTTCGCACCTGACGTGCCCGGAATACATCTCAGACTTTGAAACGTGCGCACACACATGCACGAACACACAGAGGCACAGCCAAGCGGTTTTACAAGGAGGTGGTGTGCAGGTCATAGTACCTGACATCCACCATTTAGAGATTATCTTGAGTTTTGGCCAAGTCTTTTACCAGCACGTGAAAGATGTAAAAGTGAGCAAGAAAATAACTTCTTAAGGCTTTTGCTTAAAGAGGGGGTTCTGAGAAGGGTAGGGGTCAGCAGAAACAGCCCTCGCCTCCTTTACTTGGCCACAAGTCTGTCCTGTCAGAGCTGCCTAAAGTAGGTGTCCTATTACATGGGTGGGGATGGTCCTTATTCCCTGTGCTATCTGCACTCCTCTAGGTCACAAAAATAATGCTATAACTTATTAAGTGCCTATTAAATGCCAGGGACAATAATGTGCAACTGCTTTACGTCCGTGTTCACTTAGCCTCCCAGGGAGGGTATTACCTCCATTTTACAGATGAGGAAACTGAGGCTCAAGACTTGCCTAAAGTCACTGAGACAGTACATGTGGTGTGGCCCCTAACCACTGCCCTTCCCCTCATTGCCTCCTCAGCACAGGAAAATAGAGTCTCACTTTGGGAGGGAAGGGTCGAGGGGCGGGGAGCTGCCAGAGGCAGCCCCAGGAGGCTAAGGAGCACTAAGTTCAGGGCAGGACATGCTGCCTGCAGAGTCCAAGGGCACAGGTGGTGGCTGCCGCAGGTGGGGAGAGGCCTGCTCTGTAGTAGGCCACCCGCTGGGAGGATGCTGTACCTCCTTCCTGGCACTGTGTCCTCACCCCAGGGCTTGGGATGAGTCAGGGCACAGGCAGGGGATGGGCTCTGTCCCCCACCCCAGGACTGGGATGCAGCCTGTGGAAAACCCACACCCTCACTTTGGGGGTCCTGGGCTCCTAATCCTTAATACACCACAGCTAAGGCTCCTCCTGCCCCAGAACCCATGAGATCCCACCGTATTCCCCCTCAGACGGAGGGGAGCTGTTGCTTCAACAGCCCCAGAAGCCCACCTGTTAAAACTTCTTAGTGTGCACTGACAGGAGCCCCTCACCATAGGAGGCCCTAATATGGACCCCCTCCCCATTACCCCCTCTGCTGCATATCTGTTTTAATTCACCAAGGTCGATTGCATCAAAAACTCCACTGGGCTGAATGTTTGTGCCGCTGTCCGGGATTGTCCTGCACGTGAACCCTCAGTACTGGATATCTCCCCACTTTCAGCATGCTTAGGGCCCGCAGCAGTGTGATGCCCTCCTCAGACTGCAGCCCAGGGCCAGGATGAGGAGGGCTCGAGTTCTTTTCACCAGGCTGGGTACAGGAGAGGAAGGAGATGGAGCAAAGCAGAAAGGAACCCACAACCTGTAACCCCATCTGTGGCCTTTACAAAGGTTGGCACTTTCCCTAGAACAGGCCCAAGAGTGAGAGCTGCAGGCAGAGGCTGGGGGGGTTTGGAGGAAGCCAACCACAAAGGAACACCTAGACTCAAGCCCAGGTAGACTAGAGCAGAGCGGGGCTCCTGGCAACACTCCTGAGGCTGGCACGGCTCTGCTCCTTGCTCTGACTGAAACCACAGGGCCGGGCATCACTTCCAGCTCCTTCCCACCAGGAGCCTGGAGGACGAGGGGGAAGACAGAGGGCTGAGGCCACATGGTGCCCACTGCCTTCGATCAGCCAGTGGTCGCCTCCCCAACACAGGGCAAACCTTTGAGGCTGGAATGACCAGAGACTTGCTCCCCGACGTTACCATCAGCCTCTAGGACCAAGATGACTCTACTAAGTAGAGCTCACCTAACTCTCTCCAAGGAAGCTCTTGGCTCCAAGACACGGAGACCATGCCTATGTTTGTTTCTCATCCTCAGGCTGTTTCACCCTGATCTCAAGGCCTGGTGGCCCCTGGGCCTGCCACTCTGAATGGAATGTCCTGGTCTACAGGGTCTTGGCTGCTTCAGTGACTTAGGAACCATATATGAAAAAAAAAAAAAGAACATATGTGAATGTGAGTCCCAGCTCTAACCTTGAACGAGTTACTCCACTTCCCTGGGCCTCAATTTTCCTAGCTGTAAAGTAGGGAAGATAGTAATCTATTTAACCCCTGAATTGTCAGCATGATTCAACAGCAACAGGAAAATATGTAACCCATCCACCCTGTACAGTCAGGGCAAAATGACCAACATGGGACTAGGGGTGCATGTGGCACCCAACCCACCTGGTACCCTGCTCCCATTTTCATGCCTCTAACAGTGCCACACACTATTTGGCCCTAGACTACCTTCCACCCTGAACCCTGGTTTCTCAATGCCTGCTTCTTCCCACAAAGTGCACACGTCCTGAGGGTGGACAGGGGAAAGAGGCTGCAGCTGCCACCTTGGCGGGGTCTGGGCACCACAACCTCAATACATCTTCCCAGCTGGAAGGGCCCTTGCCAATCAGTACCTCCCCAGCTGCGCTCCCCTTTGTCAGTGGGTCTCAAACATTGGGGGAGCCACCAGAACCACCAGGTGGGGCTTAGCAAAGTGGAGACTCTAGATTCCCATGAGGTCAGAGGCTACATTGTTAACAAGCTGCCAGAAGCTCCTGCCACAGGTGGTCCCTGGGCCACACATAGAGGAAGCTGATTGTTAAAATCATTCCACAGCTGCACACCACGCCTGCCTGGACAGCCACACAGTCCACTAGCACTGAACTCACTTGACCTTATCTCAGCATTTCCCAAATTTGACTATAAAACTTTTAAGAATTAAAATAACGTTAACATCTCCCAGAACTAGCATTCTGAGGAATGTTTTGGGAAACATGGATCTCATTCTCCCTTTTTAAAATAAGTATTTGCTTATGAAGCCTAGAGTGATGACGTGCGTTCAAGGGACTGGACTGTGACGGCCAAGATGGGGTTGGGGCCTGGGTCTGCCCCTTCCTGTTGTCCGCCCACTCCTCCCACCACAGTTGGCTCTGTTCTCTTTGAGCCTGAGGCTCTCCTGGGGTCACTCTGTGTCCTGAACTCAGGAGGAACCCTCAGGGTAGCTGACTGGTGAGGACATCTGAGCAGGGATGAAAGGGGGTCAGGATTAGCCTGTGTGGCTGGGATAGGCAGCAGAGAAGGGGTGACCACACTTCTAAGGTGTCCCCACAGGCCCAGTTTGCTTGGGGAGTGGGGTGAGGTGGGGGAGGAAGGTCTTTTCCTGGCCCACTGCCCCTCCCAAGACAGCAATCACACCGAGAGATGGTGAGAAGCTGGGTACCACTGGGCCAGTCAGGAGAAGAAAGTCTTGTCTTGCCTTTTCTTCTCAAGCTCAAAACAGGCACATGTATTCATTAACTGATATGCTAGAAGGGGCATCCCTTACAAGGAGGAAAATGGATTTATTGCTTTATAAAAAGGAGTCTGATAAAACTTAAAACAAAACAAAACAATTAACCTAAAAATCAACCCACCCTTCTCAGAGCTCCCAGGAAGTCTCAGACACATTTCTGAGGGCAGTCAAGGTGAGTGGGTCGGGAAGCCAGGCCCGCCTGGCAGAGGAAGGGTGGCCTCTCCCCGGTAAACAGCTCCAGGGCCCTGGGAGAGTCTGCCAGCAGAGGGCGCTGCGACCCTGCAGCCCGGGACACACTCCCCGCCCTGGGCCAGGCTGGCTCCTGGGTGCTACTCTGGGAGGGTAAGGGCAGACACCTAGAGCTCACAACCTACTGCCACCCCGCACACATCTCTCACTCACAGCACGCATACACGCAGCCCACACTACACAAATTCCAGGCCTCTCACAAATTCACCTCCCCACCCAGGCCTGGACCTCTATGTCTGTCAGCCACCCCCACCCCAACAAAAACAGGTGTGTGTGTGTGTGCGTGCACATGTATGTGTGCGTGTGTGTGCGTGCGCACGCGCATGTGTGCCCTGCTGGTGCCCCTCAAATTCCCTTCAGGTCACAGACTTGACAGAGGACAGCAGTGGCTTCGTGCTCCCAGATCAGGCCCTGAGGGAGGAGGGAAGAGGCTGCTGCTCGGCGTTGTCCCCGGCTCCTGAGCCACATGAGACCTTCCAGCCCTCCATCCCCTCTCCAGGCTTTAAGCCAGTGGAGTTTCTCCACAGGCCTCGAACAGGAGGACAGGCCACGGACAGGCCACAGGGGGCTGGAATCACAAAGGAGTTAGCACCAACAGGAAGCGGGTCCTTCCTTCCTCAGGCAGCTCAGACTGGCCAGGGGAGGAGGTGAGGGGCCAGGCGAGGGGGTGCAGACAGTGCAAGCCTTTGTCCTCAGGCAGGCGTGGTCGGTGGACATGCAGCCGAGGGGCAGGTGGTGGGCAGTGGATGGCAGGCCCCTCTACTTTGGCAAGAGGCAGAATCCAGACACTTAGGGGAGAGAGCCTGCCTGCCGGGGTCCTCCTGGCTCCTCCTGGAGCCCATGCTCCAGGGCCCCTCGAAGGTGGAGAGCAACGTCCAGGGTGCCTCTGCTTCCGGCAGTGGGAACATCACCTGTCCGGGCCCTCACCCGTCCTTCCACCGCAGGGCTCCGAGGCAGAACCAGGGCCTGAGAAGGAGTGTGGACTCCAACACGGTGAAGGAGAGGATCCTGGGGGTGCATGGAGGTCCTCTAGGGTGAGGAGGAGGACATTGGTGAGTCATGAAGCAAGGGCGGGAGGCCACAGTTCCAAGGTGGCAGGGGCTACACAAAAGCCTCCCGGTTGGATGAGCCGTTGAGCTTGAGGAAAAGCTTGTCGTCCTCCCTCTTCTGCTGCAGCTGCCTCTCCAGCTGGCGCCGGTAGCAGATGAGGTAGAGGGGGAGGCAGAAGCCCAGCATGCTCAGGACAAGCAGCCCCACATTCACCTGCGGAGGCAGGGATGGGAGTTGCCATCACAAGGGATGAGGGACCAGATGGGGGCTGTGGTCTCTGCAGAGCCCTGCTCCAGACCCTTCCTCACACTCATGTTTGGGAACAGGGAGAAGGTCCCAAGAGAGGAGAGGAAAAACAAACAAGAGATTTCAAGAGATCCAAGGCCCTGCCGCTCCACATTCCAGCATCAGAATTCCCATTATCCACAGGCCACTCAAACGTGCTGATCTGAATCTCTAGTAGGCAGGGTCGGGGTGGGGGGATTGGGACAAACTTATAGCACCTGGTTAAGAATCTTGGCCCTTGGCTGGAGGAGCAGGGACAGCAACTCGGTTCTATCTGCCTCAAAATCAGGTCCAGAAAGAACACTATCCTCCTCCTGCCCCTCCTGCCCCTTCTCAAAGGGTCCCTGAACCAATCCTAACCAAAGTTCCAAATTGCCTGTCCCCGGGGTTCTGAAAGCCCCTGAGTGGGCTCCCAGATCCCAGTCAGCAGAGTAGGGTAGATGCCCATAACCCACTGCCCCCCAACCCTTCTTACCCACAGAGGGTCTCCTTGGAGGGGACCCATCATAGCCAGAAACAGGGGCTGCTGCAGGAGAGCAAAGAGTGCACTGATCAGGGACTGCAGGCCTGTGAGGCTGCCAAACTGCGTGGAGGGGTACCTGCCAGGGCAGAAGAGAACCTGTAACCACAGGGGCCACTCTTCGGCTTCCCAAATGCTCCTCAGCCTCAGAGAACAGTAGGCGCCATCCCTGGATTACTTTCGGCTGAGCAGTTCTGCAAAGTGAGTTTCTCTTTCGGACCAGCCCGAGGCCCCAGACTCCGGGGAGGACCCCAACCTGCCTAGGTGTGCCCCGGAGACCATGGGTGTCTGGCCCAACTGAGTGGAAAATGCAGTGCCAGGAGTCTGGCTTGGGAAGCTGGCCCAGGGAGCAGGTTGGAGGCTGGGCCTGGCTCGGCTGCACCCTCATCCAGAGGAGCGTTGTGTAATCACGGAAACACAGCATCACAGCTCTCTGCCGACTCCCTCAGACTCTGCCAGGGCAGCCGCAACTTCCTCCAGGCCTGGGGCGGGGAGGGGGTGTACACAGACCTAGAATGACCCTCATGGGATACTGCTGGGAGGGAGAGGGAGTTCTGGCAAAATCTTAGCAACTGTCAGGCATGGTGGCCCCAGAGGCAGGAAGAGGCTCCTAGCGAGGGTCGGGCTGGTCTCTGGTCAGAAAGAAGCAGTGGATGGTGTTTGGGTTCCAGTTTTTGAGCCAAGTCCTGGCCAGAGAAGGGGGAACAATGTGGTTCCTTAGGCATGTGTGCTTCTGGGAAAAGGGGGCAGGTTTCATTATAGCCAAGGCCTGAGAAGGCTATGGCCAGAACCAGGCCCTTAAAGGCCCTGGGTAGAATCTGTCAGGTAAGTTCTGGGCTCAGTTATCTGTGTCACTGCTGCTGCTGAAGGCCACTTGAAGGTCATCAATTAGCTGTAGGTGGCCAGACCCCACCCCTGCCTTTCGCATGAGCAGCCAGGGGCATCCCCAGGACTCAGCTGAGCAGTGGCCTCCGGGGCAATAACAAGCTATATGGGGCATTGACCCTGGCCAGGGGACTGACTTCGTGTTAAATGCCAGAGCTTGTGGGCACCCAACTGTCTACCCACTGACACATTCTCGACAGGTATGGCCTTCCCCTGATATACCCAACAGAAGCCCTGGCACCAGTCTCCTGAGGCAACAGGATAACCCCAAGTGGGCAAGACGGCCCTCCTCAGGACCTCAGTCCCACCAGGAACCTCCCTCAGGTCACTCCCTTACTCTCAGCCACCAGGCCACCACAGCTCCCAGGACTTACACGGCAGCATACAGGCCCCCGACGGCAGAGTGGATGAATCCTCGTACGATCGTGTGCAGGATGAAGGAGAGAATCTGAGGGAGGGAGAGCAGTGTGTGAGCAGAAGACACGGAGGGCCTCACATTGTCTCCCGCCCCACAGCTCCTGGGGTCCTGAGCAATAGGAGGACCGGCATCCCAGAGTCAGCTGGACCAGCCCTCCAGGGCCAATTCCTGAACTATCAAGAATTCTGAGACCCAGTTGTTAAACACAGTCACAACTAACAAACTAATAAACATACAATTAAACAAATTACAGTTGACCCTTGAACAACATGTGGGGTTAGGGGCACCGACCCTCCACTGTAACTGCATCCAAGGACTCAACCAACCACGGACCATGTAGTACTGTAGGATTTACCACTGGAAAAAACCAACCCAGTTCAAACCTGTGCTATTCAAGGGTCCATTGTACCTTAAAAACAAAGTTAATGAATACTCAAAACCCATCACATCCTAATTATTTTGTTTTGCTATTATCCATGCTCCTAAGGTTTCAGAGGTCTATTGTGAATATTACCTGATGGTGTTACTGTATCTCTTTTCAACATTGGTTGAGATCAGCCATGATTGAGAGCACGTACACCACGGAAACTGGCAAACACTAAAAATCAGGGCTCCCCTCACCGCTGCCCTGACCCCATCTGGAGTCTGTTGTTAAGTGTATATATGTATACACTTAGTTCATATAGCACTAAGTTGGTCACTGATCACGACCTCTGCCTTTGTGGACCTGACAACTGTGCCCAGAGTTCTCCCTGCCTGGTCACCCAGCCCCACGGGCAGATGGCTGTCCTCCCCTCTAGCTCTGCTTTCTTAAGGAAAGGTCACTGCCAGCAGGCTTAATAAGCTCTGAGAAGTACTTGTTAACGATTCCTGAGAGCCAGGAGCTGTCCACTTTGCCACCAGAACCCTTGTTTGCTCTTTGCACACAGCCCTGCCGTTGGGCTCAGCAGCCAAGCCCGTTTCTGGCAATGTGGGCAGTGGAGGTGGGGGCTACCCTGCAGTGCTGCAGAAGGGTACTGCACGAATGTGCACGCATACTTGCGGAGGCTCCCCCTTTCTGCTCCAAATGCCTTGCTGACTTACAACTTGTCTTTCAATAAGAACTAAATAAAACAAAAAGCAGATGACTGTCCTCACTGAGCACTGCCCTTTTTTTTTAACTTTATTTATTGGGGCGGTTTTACTTACTTATTTTTAGAAGAGGTACTGGGAATTGAACCCAGGACCTCATGTATGCTAAGCATGCACTCTACCACTTGAGCTATACCCTCCCCACCGAGCATTGCCCTTTGATTGGACAAGGAGGTCAGGACAAGGGTCAGCTGGTCTTGCAGAGAGGGTCACCACCAGGCTGGGAGGGCACCAGAGATGCAACAATACTCCCATCTGGAACTGGCATGAGTCTCCATTGGTTTCCTCTGCTGTACACACAACATTGGCACATACACATGCTAGCACCGGTGGGTGGTGCACACCTGGTTGTTCAACATACTTCTACATGTGACCACTTGTAGAAAGGAAGGGACTCTTGCTTTCCTCCTGGACCTGGCCCAAGATACCATCTGGACTTGGGCTACACGCATCTGGAAGCAATGCCATCACCTGTATCCCTTCGAAGTTCATAAACTTGGGGATTGGAATTGGAACACGTTCATGGACCTAAGGGTGGAACCAGGCAGGTAACAAAATCTACCTTTCTCGAACTCTCTGCCAGAAGTCAGGTTCCAAAAGCATTTGGAAATCTTGTGCAGAGGAACTGAACTTTTGAACCCAGATGCCAAGCGATCGTCTTTTCCTTGCGGCACTCCTGTACCAGAGGAGCGGATGTTCCCACCAACACCACTGATTGGCCAGACCTCTTTGGACATCAGATTCCAGCTGCTGGAGCAAATGCAAAACAAGCAGCCACACAACCACACCCCATGGTTCCACAAATGGTAAGATGATGGTATTTGTGGCATGCAAGATGCCCAAAGACCAAGAGGAATGATATACTTTTCACAGAGAAGAGTCTTCTGGAAAAGGCAACCTGAGTTTCACTTACAGCTCACTCCCAGCACCGTGCACAGAGCCAGGCAGGTAAGGGGCCCTTAGCAAATCATGGCGGGCTGGTTGGCTGGTGGGTTGATTGAATTAAATGAATGAAAAGTCACCGCTCTCTTTGCTGATGGCTCCCAATGACATATCACACACCTTTCAGCCTCATTATCCCAAACCAACCTGGCCGCTCCCTCACCCCACACCCACCTGTAGAGGCAGGTTGGGAATGAGGCAGGTCACCCCAAAGCCCACGAGCAGCAGGTTTGTGAAGGCAAAGGCCCGCGTAGCATTGGTGATCTTCTGGATCTGCCGGTCCCGCTTCTGTTTCTTCTCGCCTCTGTGGAAACATACACACAGGAGCTGGAGGCTCCCTGGAGAATAGGCTCTCCCAGGAGTCAGGCCCTGGGAATCACAGCCTGTGGTCAACACAAGACTCAAAGACCACCCCCAAGCACGTGTTAGGGTCTGTGGGGGCTAGACCAGCACGAGGGACACACCCCTGCACCCTGTGGACTGAGCGCTGAGTGTGAACTTCAGCAGAGAGGTCAGATACGCTGCACAGCTTTAGTGAAGACTGAGGTCAGACGATGGAGAGGCGGGAGGAGAGTATGCCCAGGTCAGGAGGTGACAAAGCCTCCTTCAATATTGGCTTTAACTTCACCCAAACCCTGCAGGGAGCTGACACTAAGCCAGATAAGAAGCCAAACAAGGGAGAGAGTGGATTTCCCCTTGGGAGGCAGGAAGGGGTGAAGGAGAAAGAGTATGCAGAGATGGAACTGGAACGGGCACAAACAGCCTGCTGGCTGCAGGACCTGACCTAGATAACAGAGCATTCTCTGTAATTATTTCCTTGTGAATTCACTATTCCCAATTCGAGTCTCACCACCCACACGGACAACCCACAGACAATTATATGACATCCAAGAATGAATGCCAAGTGCTTGGAGGTGTGCAGGGAGGCCCAGGCCCACCACTTCCTCAGTATGTGACCTCAGGCAAGCCACTCAAACACCCAGCTTCAGGTCCCTCATCTGTGAAATGGGTATAACTCATCAAGGTGTTGTGAGGCTTACCTGAGATATGGTGCATTAAGTGCTTGGCACAGGGCCTGAATCAATAAAGAGTAGCTTATTATATTAAGGTGGAGCCAGAGAAGATAGCATATAACTCATCCTCTGATCTCAGAGCCCAACCCTTCTGTAAAGTAGGGCTCCGGTCCCTTGTTTAATTCTCACAATCACAAACAAACCTATTAACACATATGAAGGTTATAGCAGTTTACTACTCACACCGAGTGGAGTAGATCTTATGGGCAAACAGGACTGCTTTAGGACGTCTGACCGGTGTGTACTGAATGCGGCCCTCAAAGTAGAATGGTTTGATAGCCAGTCATCCACACAGACCTTCCCCTGGTTTCTGTCGTTCTTTCTTCTAGCTTGCAGCTTCCCAGACTTCACTATACCAAAGAACTTTCATAGAGAAGCAACAGACCAAAATGATGCTGAGCTGAGTGAGAGCTGACTTTAAAACCTAACCCCCCCATCCTGTGACCTGAGGGGCTGCTTCCTCTGGGGGCCAGGGCCCTGCCTACGCACTGGTTGGCGTCTTTCTCCTCGGGCTCCTCAGAGGCGTCTTCACACTCCTTCAGCCTCCAGTCCATGATGTAGCCAATGACAGGGGCTGTCAGCAGGCAGAGCAGCTGTAGCACACCAAAGATGGAGGTGTAGAGGCCAACTGAGGAGGAAGATGGGCTGTGTCAGGGGGTGCTGCCAGCAGAGGCCTGGGGCAGGCGCTGGAGAGAGCCTGCGACCCCATGAGCTCTTCTGGATTCTTCCCCAGAAACCCTCTTGTCACTGTGGGTTTTGAGTGGAGCCCAGAGACCTTAACCTCTGAAATCAGAGGCAGAGCAGAGGGCAGGCCACTCTACTCTTTTCTCCAAGTCCCCTTCTATTTCCAAGAAACAGCTAATGAAATCCAGTATGTCACAATGACCTCCCCTAGAAGCTCCAGGCAGTCTCTATGACTTGGGAACCACAGAATTACCAATGCCTGGACTGAGGCTTTGTGTGTGACTGGCCACTAGCTTTCTGCCTCTAGAAATATACCAGGAAGGCATTACTTACAGGGGCTCTGACGTAAAGGCTTCAATCTTCAAAGAGCCTTAAAATTATGATAGGATTTTTCAGGCAAATACAAGCTGAAAGTTGACTGCCCCACCCCAACCCACAGTCCTGGCCAAAAGGAATGTTTCGAGTTCAAGGAGAGGCGTTTCTCAGCTGAATGGAGACTGACTGGGAGGGGATGTTGCCGGTTTCCCGATAATGCCCCCTGCTTACCCGTAGCCATCACTGCATCAAGAAAGCACAAGCGAAAAAGCAGAAAGGAGGGAGGTTAGCAGTCCAAATGTCAGAGGTTGTTCTAGAGAGATGGGGCGTGGAGGAAAGCTAGCCCTGGGCCCAGCACATGTGCCATTTCCCATTGAGCCCTGACTCTCAGAGTGCCCGGTGGAGGTGGGAGCAGGCCCTGTACAGGTGTCTGCTGATGTTTTCCTGTCTGCTGGGGCCTCAGTCATGTGCAGCTGGTGCCTTGTCACAGGTGGGCTGGTGAGTAAGGCCTGGCATGATGTGGAAGCGGTGTGGAAGGCCTCGTAGAACCTGTGCCTCTAGGTCCCTGTTCCTTCCAAGGGCAGGACAACCTACCCCGCACACAGCCAAAGTATCTGACCAGCCAGCGCTGGTCTCCCTCCACCTACGGCCCCCTGACCCCGAAGCAACCCCTCTGGGCATGGCTGTGTGTGTGTGTTGTGTGTGTGTGTGTGTGTGTGTGTGACGTCAGGTACAACTGCTTATGCAAGGGAAAAACCAATGCCCGTCAGCTGCGGCCCGAATTTCCTGGCCCAACTTCCTCTACTTCTTGAAATGACTTTTTGCATGTGGGAAGCAGTTGGAAAAAATGCCTTCTGGGCAGCAAAAGATTTCTCAAAGAACTTCAGTAAAAGGCCATGACTCAGCAGCAGGGAGATTTGCCTTCCAAGGATGAGTGAGGGCCTTTCTCTGTACATGTCAGGGTCTCCACCCCTCTGGGCTGGAAGGTTTATAACACAGAGTATATAGACATGATAGATCAGTTTGCCCCAAACTGTGGTGCACAGGTTTAAATAAATGTTACATAATCAAAGGGTTCCTGTGGAAGAAATTTAGGGGAATAACACTGGACTAAACAAAACTAAATAGCTTTTTTTTTTCCTATCTCGGTGTTTGGTACGAGTTTTTGCAAGGGTTTTTGCAATGACAGACAGGGTTTCTCCACATTGCTTCACATCCAAATACCCATTTTCAGAGTATCTGAAAGGGGATCTGTGCTCCTTTGTCATGTTTTCCTTTTTTTCAGGTTGGGTTTCTTACGCTCTTTAAAAACTGTATTTGATTCCTAACAATGCCTCGGGCATCTCTCTCCTGGAGAAGAACAATTAAACCAACCAAAGAGTTGCACACCAGTGAGACTGCCAATATAAAGGATTTACCAAATGTGTTTGTCCCGCTCAGGGATGACTAAAGCTGACTCAGCTCAGGCCCCGAGGAAGCACTGACTTTCTTTGTAGAATCAAAACCTCTAATCAGCTGAAGCCCTTCTGTGTTTCTTTTGGAAAAGTGGCATGTGGGTTATCAGTTTTGTTTACCAGAAGTAACAAGCCGGGACTGGATTACACACACGAGGAAGGCTCCGCCTGGCCCTGTTTCCCAGTTCAGGGCACAGATCCCAGAGCAGGCCCAGGGCCCCAGTCTCCAGCCGCAGCCGCCCGGCCCCCACCTCGGCACCCGGCCTCCCCACACGCCGCCCCTGCGGTCTCCAGAAGGATTCCTGGCATTGGGCTTGACTGATCGTCTTTCAACAAGCTCTCAGGTGGAGTACCGTGTTCTGTGCAGTGTTTTCATTTACAGACACACACGTCAACCGCCCCCTCAGGCAACGAAAAACACACACCCCACACCCCTAACATAAGTAGTTATTTTAGTCCTCTCCTCCCTCCTAAACCGGGAAACTGATGGGGACATGAAAGAACAGTTGGGGCCGGCAGTGATGAAATGGCTCTGACAAACAATCAGGCCCTTGCATGCTGCCATCTCACAGCCCTGCTGGCCCAGCCCAGCTGAACACCGTCCGGCTGGCCAGGCAGCGGGCTTGACCTCAGGTGGGCAGGAGCGACCACCACTTCTGGGTGGCCTCCTGCGGGGCTGCACACCGGGGCCCAGGGCCACCTACCTACATCTTGGTCACCGCTGACCAGGAACTGGAGGATGTTGTTCATGGCGCCCATATAGAAGATGAGGCGCAGCTGCGTGACGCACATGGTGACCAGGCTGAGCAGCAGGATGGGGCTGAACACACTGTGCATGAACGAGGGGGCCGCTGTGGGGAGAGGCGGGCGTTCAGGGAGAACCGGGTGGCACCGCACGGCCCATAGCCCACCCCCTATCCAGGGGCGCAGTGTCAGAAGCCTGATTTGCCAACCAAATCACTCCATGCTGGATGAGGCGGATGGTGTGCGGGTAGCAGCTGAGTTATCCAGTTGTGTGAAACACACTGTGTGAATCCCTCACCCTCTCTAAGGCTTAATCTGTGAGCCAGCATGGATGGTGCCACCTGCCCTTTGGGGTTAAGTGGTGGGAATGAGAGGAGACGATACCCACAAAGCCCCCAGACAGTGCTGGTACCTGTGAGGGGCTGGGGCCGCGACTTCCCCACCTGGGCTGGCCACCCCCTCCTTGTTGCGGGGATGTGGGTGTAGGTGTAGGAGGAGATGCCCCTGCTAACATCTAGGCAGGCCTGGGAGGTGAGGGCAGGTACCTGTGGCGTCAGGCTGGCACTTGACCTCCAGGTCGACGGTGGACAGACACAGCTTGTGGCCCTCCTGCAGGGCCGCCTGCTCCTTGGCGCTCCGCATGGAGCTGCCCACGCTGAGGCGGCGCCCCACCGTGGTCACCTGTTTGTAGAACTGCTTCCCCGTGATCTTGTGGTCAAAGCCCAGCCAGCTGAACTTGATCTTCACCCTGGAGGCCACAGAAGCATGTCCGTCAGCGCTGCCCAGTCCCCTGGCCGGGGTGGGGATGGGGACAGACAACAGGTCCACTTACGTGTAGTCCATGTCCTCAGGTCCCGGGAAGGGCTCCAGGGGCCAGTTAAAGAAGCAGTTGAGGAAAACCAGCCCAGAGCAGCCGGCCCAGACCACGAGGATGACAATGAAGGAGGCTCCAAAGTCATAGATGACCTGAGAAGCACAATGGGGTCAGGGCAGGGGAGCAGGGGGCAGAGTTAGTGGAAGGAAGCCGGCACGGGCAGCGGACACCCAGCTGTCCTGCTTTCCCTGCACTGAGCTGTGAGGGGAGGCACAGCCCTGTCAGCCTGGGTGTTTGGACATCAGACATCCTGCATTCCACTAACCTCAGCTTGCTCTGGCATGTTATTATCCCCCCGTGCCTCCAGCTTGGACCTACTGTCATCTCCTTGGAGAGGCCTCCCTGACCGCCCATCACTGTAACATCACCAGCTCACAGTGAACAGCTGTGGCTGAGGTTTTTGACTTCTTGATTCATTTCCTTGTTCATTATCTGTCCAGCTCCCTGAGAACAGGAACCTAGCCTTGTCCACTGTGTTTCTCTAGTGCCTTGAAGCATACACCTGGTAGATGCCAAAGAAATATCTGAGGAATAAACAGCTGGATGTCTCACTTTGCTCCTCTGTGAAATGGGTGTGATGCTGGCCTGCACCCTCATGGTGCAGTGGTGGGGGTGAAGTGGGTGTGATCCTGGCAGAGACTCAGTGCTGGGCCAGGCAGGTGGGAAGCCGCTGGGCCTGTTATAATCATTTATTTCCAGCACAAGAGATCGCAGAGTAGTGGCAGACAGCTGCCAGCTCCCCAGCGAGGGGACCGGCAGTTAGACACTGAGAAGAGGAGGAAGGGGGAACTCGCAGGCTCCTCTGCACCAAGAACACTGAAATCCCTCAATTCCACAGGATGGCTGGCCCAAGACCCTCCAAGCACCTTGATTCCCGGGTGGCAGGCCCATGCCTGAGACTCCTTCTCCTCCTCTATGGCCTCTCCTCCTTGTACCAAAGGAAGAGGGATTTATTTGGGGCTGGTGCCACAGCAGGGAGAAGCCCTTTCAGGAGCAACAGGATTCAGAGCAGGAACTGGGACTGATGGATTGTGAGGTGTTTGCTCCATCCTGACCCTATGTGACTTCCACGGGCTCAGAATCCTGCCTGGGAGGGAAACAGCTGAACCAACTTGGCCAAGAGCCGTGCTCTGGCAGTGAGAGCAACAGCTCAACAACAACAGATCTGGGGGTGGGGGGACTGGAGTTGGACTCAGGACCAGCGACAAACACCCACCCCCTCCACTGGCTCTCCCCCAGCCCAGAAATGCAGAGGCAGCCTGAAGTCACATGCTTGAATTTTCCATCCCCCCTCCCCTCCCCAAGCTCTTACTCCGAGGTACCCAGGTGCATCCTCCCATGCAGGTGGGGGGAGGGGCCGGCCCCGGGCACCCACAATTACTTCCCTCTTCAGAGAGGGTTGAAAGAGTCTTAGGAGAGGCCTCTGCTCAGACACACCCTCACCTTGACTCCTGGGAAGGTGACTGCTGAGGAGGCATAGGATCCAATCATCAAGGCAATAAATGTGGACCGAAGGTCACCAAACATATTGGGCAGCTGAAAGACAAGATGCAAGAGAGACTTTGGCTGAGAGAATGGACAGGGGATGGATGAAGGAGGGGAAGAGAGATTCAAGGCATCCTCAGGCACCATTTCTTATCTGCTCTCCTCCCCGTGTAACTCACAGGGGGATTAGTCCGGGTAAATCACTGCTAATTGGAAGTTTTTCTTCCCATACTGAGGCTGATAAAGGAAGAGGAGGAGAGTAATGCAGAACTCGGACTGTGCAAGGGAAGACAGAGCTGGTGGACTCCCTGGCTGGCCAGCCTCCCTCCTCTCTGCCCTGGCACAGGCCAGGGGCTTTCTCTCTTTGCAGGGTTAGAAGGAGATGCCAGCGAGCAAAGCTGGGAGCCTGAGGCATCCCTCAAAGGGAGCAAGCTGTTAAAAATAAGAATCTATTTGGGGATGAGAGTGTAATTTTATAAATAAAAATATCAGTGTCCCAGAAGGGCCAGATGTCAGCAAAAGCTGCTTTCAGTTCTGAGAAGGGTAGGTCTCTGGAAGGTGCCAATCAGAATTCTACAGTCCCCCAGCGTGGAGGAGGGGGCTGGCTCAGGATTGCTGCTTCTGAATGCCCAGGGGCAAGGAGAGCATTCCCTTCCCACCTGACATTTTGCACCTGAGAAGACCAACGGCAAGAAAGGCTCAGACTCTCTTCCCTGCCAGGCCACTCTTCCCTTCTCACAGCAGCTCGTCCTGAGCCCACCAGACATGGCTGCAGTGCTAAAACCCTCGGAGATTCCACACAGACCCAGGCATGGATTCAAACAGACATGGGGCAAAATGCATCCTCCCAAACAGCCAGTCTTGGCTTCCTTCTCTGGCTAACCTCAGGAGAGCTCGAACCGTGTGCTGGGAAGGTTTCCCATCCACACCCACGAGGTCTCTGGCATTGAGAATCGCTCTCTGGACCTGCCAACCTGTTTCACTGAACTCAAGCTGTTTATAAAGGACCTAACCTACGTTCCCCTCCGTCATTTGTCTGGAATCATTTTGGAGTTTTATCAAACACGGACCACGTGGTGGCTGCCTGCAAGCTGATCCACTGTTGATGAACAGAGTTTGAACGTGTTTACCTACCTGCCTCTCATCATTTCTGACTGTTTTGACCACAGTTAAAAATGAGTAAGCAGGGGGAGGGTATAACTCAGTGGTAGAGGGCGTGCTTAGCATGCCCGAGGTCCTGGGTTCAATCCCCAGTACCTCCACTAAAAAAAGAAATTTTAAAAAAGCTTTTTTTTAATGAATAAGAAACATCATGACGTTTGTGCTTCAAAGGACACCACTGAGAAAGTGAAATGACAATGCACGGAAGAGAGAAAAGTTTTACAAATCATCTATCTGATAAGGGACTTGTATCTGGGATCTATAAATAACTCTTACAACTCAATAATAAGAAGATAACCATTTTTGAAGTGGGCAAAGGATCTGAAAAGACATTTCCCCAAAGAAGATAAACAAGTGGCCAAAAAGCGTACAGAAAGATACTCAGTATCATTAATGATGGAGAAATGCAGATCAAAACCACGAGATACCACTCCATACCCCTGGTGGCTATCATTTAAAAAAAATCAAGTAATTACAAATGTTGGTGATGACACAGAAGAATCAGAACCCTCTCCTTCATTACTGGTGGGAATGTAAAATGGGGCATAGCCACTCTGTAAAACAGTCTGGCAGTTCCTCAAATAGTTAAATACAGAGTTACCATCTGACCCAGAAATTTCACTCCTAGGTATATACCCAAGAGGAATGAAAATATGTCCACATAAAAACTTGCATATGAAGAAACAACCAAACAACCCAATCCAAAGATGGGCAAAAGACCTGAACAAGCAATTCTCTAAGGAAGACATACAAATGATCAATAAGCAGATGAAAAAATGCTCAATATCACTAATTATCAGAGAAATGCAAATCAAAACTACAATGAGGTATCACCTCACACCAGTCAGAATGGCCATCATTCAAAAATCCACAAATGACAAATGCTGGAGAGGCTGTGGAGAAAGGGGGACCCTCCTACACTGCTGGTGGGAATGCAGTTTGGTGCAGCCACTGTGGAAAACAGTATGGAGATTCCTCAAAAGACTAGGAATAGACTTACCATATGACCCAGGAATCCCACTCCTGGGCTTATATCCAGAAGGAACCCTACTTCAGGATGATACCTGCACCCCAATGGCATAGCAGCACTATTTACGATAGCCAAGACATGGAAACAGCCTAAATGTCCATCAACGGATGACTGGATAAAGAAGACGTGGTAATTTATACAATGGAATACTATTCAGCCATAAAAACCAACAACATAACGCCATTTGCAGCAACATGATGCTCCTGGAGAATGTCATTCTAAGTGAAGTAAGCCAGAAAAAGAAAGAAAAATACCATATGAGATCGCTCATATGTGGAATCTAAAAAACAAAAACAAAAAAACAAAGCATAAATACGAAACAGAAATAGACTCGTAGACACAGAATATAAACTTGTGGTTGCCAAGGGGGCAGAAGGTGAGAAGGGATAGATGGGATTTCAAAATTGTAGAATAGATAAACAAGATTATACTGTATAGCACAGGGAAATATAAAAAAACATCAATCAGAGACTTGAGATGTTTTGGGATCCTAGGATTGAAAATAAAAATGAGTAAATCTACAGTGTCTGGCCAACAAAGCCATCTTATGGTAGGAGGCCAGGGTGGCTCTCAAGGCTCCCCAAAGAATTCTCAGCATACAAAGAGCTCTTCTGCCAGCCTTCACGCAGAGTGGAACCTCTGTCCACTTAGACTTCTCAGAGAGGGTAAGAGGGAGAGAAAAAGCATATGGAAGCTCCCCTAGCAGGAGACAGAGGAAACGTGATGTGCTCATGTGTGCCCAGGCACACTCAGGTGAGCACTAAAGGTGCCCAGTCTTACTCTTTGTACACCTGCCTCCCAGGTATGCTGTGGTTCAGAGGACATGCCTCGGTTCCTGAGCTCACGTATTCGGGCCATGCCATGCTGGCTATCCCAGCGAGGCAGCCTTGTTGGGGAGGCATTTCTGGGGCCCTACCTGCCCCAGGGAGAATCCAAAGATTAGTTCTGCTTGTATGGAAACTGTTCCAGCCTGACATGCCACTCCAGCCAGGGCACGTAAAGGAGGAAAGGAGTCAACAAGGGCTTCGAACCCAACCACAAGAGGAGACAGAGGACAAGAGCCTGATGTAGAAAAGGCCACTTGGTGCACAGTCAAGCCAGGAAGCACTTCTGTTGCTGCGGTCACCTCTGGGTACAAAGAGTGTCCCCAGCTATTCCACAGGGTGAAGGGATAGTTCTGAAAAGCAGACAGCTTGCTAGCTAGCCCTTTTCCTTCTACTCTAACCCAGGCTAGAGGCCAACAGAACAGGGGTTTGGGGCCAGCTTGCAACTCTGACCTGACCTTCTGGAGTCTTCCCCCCAGAACTGGATCCAGAACAGGGAAGAACGGGAAGCTGAGAGAGGAGACTGAGTTTACACTTCCCTCTGGATGAGACCCCTGCCCTCATTCCTGGTCCAGGGCAGCCGCCCTCCAGCTGCCATCCTTGCTTCCCTGCCTCTCCCTGCCTGGAACAGTCTTTGTAACACCCTGAAAATTCTCTTCCCTAACATGTTATTTTGGTCAGCAGGGCCATTTCTAGGCAGTACAGAGCCTCAGGGCAAACCACATTACACAGTCTTCTCATCAATATTTACAACTCATATTTTAAATTATGATTATCTTTCCTGATTAGAAAAGCAATGCAAGTCCACTGTAAAATATCTGGAACAAAGTACACATAAAGGATGAAATAAAAATTCCCTTGACACAGCCATATTATCATTTTTATGTATTTCCCTTCGATCTTTTTCCTATAAATACCTGTAATTTTTAACCAAACTGGGATCATATGCTATATAGTATTTGATGAACTTTTTCTTTTTTACTTGATATATTATAAATATTTTCTAATTTAGTATTTATCTTCAACATAATTTGCAATAACTGTCTGGTATTTTCTTATCTGAATGGTCTATAATTTATGAAACTATTTCTCTGATGCTGGACCTTAGATTCTTTTTAATTTTTATGATAGATAACATTTTTTGACGGGGGGAGGTAATTAGGCTTATTTATTTACTTTTAATGAAGGTGCTGGAGACTGAACCCAGGACCTTGTGCTTGCTAAGAACATACACTACCACTGAGCTATACCCTCCCCCCTCAAATAACATTTTAATGAACATTCTTAAAGATAAATTTATATGCAAATAACTATCATTTCCTTAAGGTGAATTCCCAAAAGTAGAATCACCTGGCAAAGGGAATACACATTTTTAAGTGTTTGTGATACTCTGTGCCAAACTGTCTTCCAGAAAACTTAGACCAACTGATACTCCTACCAGCAGCATAGTAGAGCATCTCTTCCATGGTAGCCACTCCACTATTGTGTGTTGTCATTATTTTTAGTATTTGCCACTTTCACCAATACCCCTGTTGTTTTAAAATCCGTTTCTTTGTGTATATGGAAGAAATGTATCAACGACTGGTATTTGCTTCACAATAATCTGGATGGTGGATGGAGACAGAAATGAAGCAAGACTGATCATGAGCTGACAGCTGCTGAAGTTGCAAGATGGGTACATGGGGTTCATTGTACTATTCTCTCTAATACCATGTATATTTAAATTTTTCCATGATTAAAAAAAAGAAATGGAAAAAAACTCTTATTGATTACTAATGACTTTGAACTTTCTTCCTACAATTTAAAAAATCTGTCATGCATATACCTCATTTGTCCCTTTTTTTTGAGGATGTTAATATATTCATATTGATTTGGTATAGGCTCTTTATATATACAGACCATCACAGTTTGTTCATATACTGTAGGTATGTTTTCCTAGTTTGTTCTTTAACTTCTTAGTTCATGGTAGGGTTTTTTTGTTTTCAATATGAGAGTTTAAATAGATAGTCAAAGTGTGTTTCAGCTTTTATGGACTA